AACTTCGCCGGCATCGCGGCCCCGCTTCACAAATTGCTGGAGAAGCAAGTCCAATTCGTCTGGACACCACAGTGCCAAGACTCATTCGAAGAGCTGAAACAGCGCCTCACAAACTCTCCAGTTCTGGGTTTTCCAAATTTCGACCTACCTTTTATCCTCGACACGGATGCAAGTGAAAATGGCATCGGCGCGGTACTATCCCAAGTACAGGATGGGAAGGAAAGGGTAATCGCCTACGGCAGTCGCACCCTCACGAAGCCTGAACGCCACTACAGTGTGACCAGGAAAGAAATGCTGGCCTTGGTTTATTTCGTCCGTTACTTTAGGCACTACTTGCTTGGACGGCGATTCACCTGCAGGACGGATCACAGCGCGCTTCAATGGCTGCACAGCTTCAAAGAACCGGAAGGCCAAGTCGCCCGCTGGATTGACCAACTCAGCGAGTATGACTTTATCGTTTCGCATCGGCCGGGAAAACAACATGGAAATGCAGATTCGCTGTCCAGACGGCCTTCCCCGGCGAATGAAGGCCAACATGTCGCGCTCATGACAGTTGCACAGTCTTCATTCACCATGACAGACCTTCGAGAAGAACAACGACGTGACCCGCAGCTTTCGCCCATCATCGACGCCCTGCTTGCAGGCACGCCGGCAGGAGATATTCGTCGATGCAGCGCGGGAGTGCTCTTCCGCAACCGGCAGAAGCTAAGGCTAGTCGACGGCTGCCTCATGTGGAAAAAAACACCGGAGTCAACCCCTGTTCCCGTGATCCCCGAGACATGGATACCGCTGGCCCTAGACTCCGTTCATGATGCACCGGGGGGCGGACATCTTGGGCGCGCCAAGACACTAAAGAAGGCCGCAGAAAGGTTTTTCTGGATTCGAATGGCACCCAGTGTAGCCGACTGGTGCTCGAGATGTGTTAAGTGCTCCGCTCGTAAGGCACCAAACCCCAGACCACGAGCACCACTGATTCAGGAAGCGGCCACCTTCCCTTTTGAGCGAGTGGCTATTGACATCACTGGTCCGTTTCCAACGACGGAAAGAGGCCACAAGTACATCTTGGTGGTGAGCGACTATTTTACTCGATGGGTTGAAGCGTTCCCTCTGAAGACTCAAGAAAGCAAGGAGGTCGCCAATAGCCTCGTCCATAACTTCTTCAGTCGCTACGGGATACCGTCAGCACTACACTCTGACCAAGGCAGAACTTTCGAGAGCAACGTCTTTCAAGAAATGTGCTCAATTTTGGGCATCCGAAAAACAAGGACCTCCCCTTACCACCCCCAGTCGGACGGATTGGTTGAGCGATTCAATCGCACGCTGATGAACAGCTTGAGTGCGTACGTCAATGACACACAGACTGACTGGGACATCAAGCTCCCTCTCGTCATGATGTCCTATCGCTCGAGCGTGCATGAATCGACTGGTTACAGTCCTTACTATCTGCTTTTCGGTAGACACATGAATATACCAGCTGACATGCTGCTCGACGTGCACGTCCATACCAACATGGCTTCGACGTCCAGTTATGAGCAACACGCATCGCGCCTACTGACAACATTACAAAGGGCTCGCGACCACGCAATTGTAAACGACATGAAAGCAAAGGATGCGCAGAAGCGCCACTACGACAGCACGGCCAGGGAAGAAGACTACGAACCTGGCGACAGAGTTCTTCTACATTCTCCCGCTGTGCCGCGAGGACAGTCCTCGAAGTTATATTTGCCATGGTTGGGTCCTTATGTAGTCCTCAAGAAGCTTCCTAACAACGTGTACAGAATCCAGGAAGAAACTGGAAAAAGAAAGCGGCGGGTTGTACACCACAACCGTTTGAAGCGGGTAGCCGATGGGAAGGAGCCAGTCTTGTTGCCTGCCAGGACGTTATCACACGCCACAGAAAACAAAGATAACGACCCGACTCCTACACGCCCAGCAGTCCCAGACTACCCAGACATAATAGACATTGAAGGCGATGATCTGTACGTCGATGCGGTCGAAAGTCTACCGCCGGTACAAGCAGCTGAGGATCCGAACCTGGCCGACGCTCATGAGAACCCACCGCTGTTAGACATCCTCGACAACGAGCTTCACGTTGAAGACCAAGTAGAAGAAAACGGGGACCAAGGCACTGACGGAGGCCAGCACAATACGCCACCAGCGAACGGTGCCGAACTCCTGGACGACGATCAACATCCAGTTGTTCTTTTGCCCCCTGATGACGTCACTTCAACGGACTTGCCTGTAGACGTGCCACAGCAGGCAACGCCAGCAGAGCGATACCTCCTTCGGCCACGAGAAACATTGAGTCGACCCGCGCGGTATCGCGATTGAGTGCTTCTAGCATGAGAAGCCTAGTGCCGGGACGGCAACTTCCTCGTGAAGGGGGATGGTGTGATGATTGCTAGTACCGCCACGGCGAAGGAGAAGAAGCGCGCTCTGGGAGTGCGCGCGACAGAAATGCGAACAGATATAAAAATGGTAGCCTAAGATCGAACGCTGTCGCTTCTTGGCCATCACGTTACACCGTGAACGCCGCCGCAACGCAAGCCTGGAACCGCGGAGACTTCGCAGCCGCAGTCGCAGCCGACACGGTGGTGCTGAGGAAGGGAAGCGTGTCCTTTCCAGCAGCGACGAGTTCGCGACCCCGCAAGGCATCCCGGCCGCAGCAGCTCGCCTCAAGCGCTCGCGGAACGACTCCCCTTCGCCCACTGGAAGCCCCAGCAGCCAGCCATCGTCCGGAACACCCTCGGATTAACGAAGTGCCTGTGACTCATTTTCCTCCTCTTCGCACGGCTACGGGTCCTCACCTTGAATGTCCAGGGGTTCCGCAGTGCGACCAAACAAGTGGAGGTTCTCCAGCTTGCCCGGACTGTCGGTTGCGACTTTCTCTTTCTCCAGGAGACAAATTTTGTTAGGCAACGCGACGTCACCCTCTTCAAGCAACGTTATGCAGTGGATTGTTTCTTCTCCTTTGCTACTACCCGGAGCTCCGGAGTAGGAATTATTTTTAATCGCGCGCTCATGCGGCAAAGCTCGTGCTGCTTTGACCCCGATGGCCGATTCATCACATTCGATTTTTTTCTGGACGCCGCCCGTTTTCGCACCGTGTGTGTTTACGCCCCGGCACAACGCTCGCACTCCACGGCATTCTACAAGAACTTGGATGTTCACCTCCTCGACACATGGCACTGCCTGGTACTCGGAGATTTCAACTGCGTCGTCGACTCCCGGCGCGACGTCAGGGGACCAGGGTACCGCCGCTCTACATGGAACGCCCGCGAATTGAGACGGCTGATTGGACATTTCGACTTGGTGGACTGCTGGACCCTCCTCCACGGTGCTACTTTCGAGCACACCTGGCAACGTGGTGGGTCAAGCAGCCGCCTGGACAGGGTCTACGTCACCGAGACCCTGGCCTCAGCCGTTCAAGCTTGTGGGGCTGTGAACTTCCCACCCGCCATCGGTCACATCTCAGACCACCGGCCAGTGCTAGCGGAGCTCTGTCTGGCTCCCTCGGCCGGGCACCAACGCTTCTGGCGCTTGGACTCCCGCGTCCTGCAGGACCCGACGAGCCGCGACCGCCTGAAAGAAGTTTTGCGCCGGTCTCTACATGGAGTGACGCCAGATCCAGCGAACTGGGACCACCTTCTGGAAACCTGGCGGGTGGCGTGCGTGACGGAGGGCCGTGCCCTGCGCCAGCGGCAAGTTGAAGAGCTCCGCGAAACATCGCTGCGAATCCGCATCGTACGTCGCGGGGGCGCTGGGACTCCCCTTATGAGGGGCTACCTGTCGCAGCTCCTCGACCGGTACCAACGCCTACTACGGGCGTCGACGACAGCAGCGACAGTTCTTCAGGGGAGGGGCGGACCCTCCTTACACCCCGAAGTGCTTCGCTACACACATCGCACACAGGTGAAGGAGCGGCGAGTCCCGCCCGTTCCAGTTCCTCCGTTGACGCCTCCGCCTGGCCAACCTTCTGTCCCAAGCTTCAACTCCCACTTCGAGGCCCTGGCGACTTCGGAGTCAACGATAGACCGCGTGACCCTGGCCATGCACCCTTTCTTGCACGACCTCCCCAAAGTACCACCCACCACTGGCGATCAGCTGTTCAAGCCTCCCAATGCAGAGGAGGTTCACAACGCTCTCCTGAAAATGAAGACTGGATCTGCGCCGGGCCCGGATGGATTCCCGACCGAGTTTTACCGCACATTCTGGGATGTGCTGGGGGAGCATGTGTGTGCGGTTCTCCGCATCTTCTTCACGGAGCTCCGCCTGCCGGAGTCCTTCCGGCAGGGCAGGATAATCCTGTTACCCAAGGAGGGAGGAGACCCCAGCGAACCAGGGGCGTGGCGACCCATCACTTTGCTCAATACAAGTTACAAGCTGCTCGCTTCGGTGCTTGCACAACGGCTGCATGACATCCTCCCGGACATTGTAACAACGCGCCAGACGTGTTCGGTCGTGGGCCGCAGCGTCCACACACTGTCATCGCTCACGAGGGACGTGCTTCACTACACGAACTCCCGCTGCGCCAGGGGTTTGATCGCCTCCCTGGACCAGGCGAAAGCGTTCGACCGGGTTGAGCACCCCTTCCTTTTCGCCTCGCTCGACGCCTTTGGTTTCCCCCCGGAGGGTGTTCGCCTCTTCGAGGTCCTGTACGCTGGCATGAAAAGTGATCTGTGCGTGGACGGCCGTGTGGTGGCCAGCTTCCCCGTCACGCGAGGCGTACGCCAGGGCTGCCCACTCTCGCCGCTCCTCTTCGTCCTGTCGCTCGAGCCGTTCCTCGCCAATATCGACCGGTGCTCCCTGGTACGCGGCCTCCCTCTCCCCGGCAGCGGCGAGGTGAAGGCGACTGCGTACGCCGACGACATCACGCTGTACCTAAGCGACGCTGACGACCTTGGCGCGGCGCTTCAGGTCTTCGCTACGTACGGGTCGCTCTCGGGGGCACGCCTCAACGAGGAAAAGAGTAGAGCGTTGTGGGTTAACCGCCCACCAGACCCAGCTTCCCCGCTCCCGGCGGCTGCCGTGGTGAAGATACTGGGCGTAACGTATAACGCGATGGGAATCTCACCCGAGATGTGGACCCGCCTTGCGCGCGACATCACGGCAAGTGTGGATCGTGCCCGCGACTACGCTCTCCCCATGGCCGAGCGCCGGTATATGGCCCACTCGGTGTTCTGCGGGCGCCTCTGGTACCTAGCGCAGGTGGTAGTACCGCCGCGTAGCTTCACCAGGCAAGTGCGAAGTTCCTTGTTCAGGTTCTTCTGGATGAATAAAACCGAGCTCGTCACCCGTCAGGTGCTCTCCCTCCCACGCGAGAAGGGAGGATGGGGCTTCCCCTGCGTGGATGGCACGCCCGCGCTACTCCAGCTGAAGACCATGCTCATGATCCTACACGAGGCTGAGAACCCGGCCAGATCTCTCGCTCTCTACTTCGTGGGGCACTCCCGCCGAGACCTGGGTGTCGACCTCACCGGCCCGTCGGGTGCCTGTGCTGAGACACCGCCGCCGGCTTACTGGAAGGCGCTTCAGCTGTATCGCCGCCTCGTGGAGCAGGCGCCTCAACTGGACATCACGACAACACCAGCGTCACGCCTCGCCCAGGCCCTGTTGGAACCACAGCTCACTCCCGTGCAGATTGGACTCTCGGATTCGTTCCCATGGGTCCGCCTCACATCCTCCAACCTTCCAGGACACCTTCGAGACTTCGAGTGGCAGCGAGGCTGGGGAGTGCTTCCCACACGAGACCGGCTACTTCGGTGGGGCGTGTGTCGCACCGATCAGTGCCCGAACTGCGACGCCCGAGAGACGAACGTGCATGTTGTGTCGGAGTGTGTGGTGACGCGCCCGTTCTGGCGGGTCGTTCGCTCTAGCTTTCGGGGGCTGGGCGTGGCACTTTACCTCCTGCGCGGACGATGTCCTTCGGGGCTCTTCGCGTGCCTTCTGCTCGCCGCGAGCGAGTACGTCCTGTGGCGAAACCGGTGCTGCGCCGTGGGACAGGGACGGAGGCTGCGCGCGCTCTGGCCGCTTCTGTTCAGGCTACGGCGGGAGCTCGTGTCCCACCTCGTGGCGCAACTGTTCCTCCTCGGAGAGGAGGAGTTCCTGCGGCGCTGGTCCTGCCGATACCTACACGTGCACAACTCTCGCATTGAACTCCGTTTTCAATATGTTGATCATATCTAGACCGCGTTAGGCGGAGAAAGGGGGAACGGGACGACGATGCGGCCCTCTCTTTGAGGCGTCGCAGGGTCGGGACGTGCGAGCACAGTACCGGTTGGGGGGCCTCTTTGCGCGAGTGATCGCGCGGACGGGCGCTTTGCCGAGCGGTGGGTGCGTGCCCGCGCCTTAGGCACGGGGTTGGCTAGCTTGAAAGACTATATACTGTACATAGCGCGTTCTCGGGTTTTGGTTTTGTTATGGGCATGACACCACTGTTGTAAATAAAGTTTTCTAAACAACAATGACCATCTACGCGATCTTTTTTTGCAGTGAAGAGCAATTTAAGATTAAAATAAGCTCGACCATGCCCTCTTTCCCCGTATTGTTTTCTTTAACAATCCGAAATATGTGAGAGGGGGGGGGGGAGAGACTGGAGCTCCCCCCCTCCCCCCCGTTTTTCCTCTTCCGACGCCACTGGTATGGTAGAACGCTCCTCGACCTCAAGTTGCGTCAGCTTCTGTGCTTTTTGCTCGGCGTTTCTTCCGCTTCAGAAAATAAACCTCCAAAGCAATTACAAGCAAAGAGATTGTCAAGGTGCAGGCGAGCTGGTGTATGTTGATCACGATGCAAAATCCCGAGACTGGGGCTGAAATTCAAAAGAAATAGTGTAAGAAGAAAGAAAAAAAGGGGACAGGACAACGTCTCAAACTCAGCTGATTTGAGTTTGAGACGTTGTCCTGTCCCCTTTTTTCTGTCTTCTTACACTTTCTCTTTCAAATTTCCTTCCCAGCCTCAGGATTTTGCATCATGTACAAACAAACTTACTATTGCCAGCGTCACTCGGGCGGCGTTCGATCGGATTACTACCAGCGTGCAAGGGGGTAGGGGGGCAGTTTGCCAGATGACTTCTAGGTTTTTCTGAACCTCAACCACCTGCCTGCCCCTGGCTGTTTTGAACTGGATGAGTATCGTTAAACAGTGCATTCGTAGGATCACTACTTCGTAATGCACGTTAATGACCACCCCGGGCTGGCGGTCACGATTACTGATCTATTGTTACACGTCACTGCAATTGCAAATATTCCAGCACATCCGGGGCACTCGTCGTCTCATTTCATTGCCTGACCAACTTGGCGCTGTCTAAGTATCACACCCGAGCCTTTCTAAACCTGATTTCGTGAATACCAGCGAGGCGTGAAAACGTTATTTGAAACTGAAACTGTGGCGGAACATGAAAACCGGACTTCGAACTTTGCGCACTTGGACTTAAAAAAAATCGGAAACCTTTGAAGTTTTTTTTCTTCCTTCAAAGAGAATCGAAACCTTCGAACTTTATGTGGAAAGAAATTTGAAACCTTCGAATTTATCGAACTTTATGTCTTTAAAAATTCGAAACGTTCGAATTTTTTGAATTTTAGATTTAATGAAATTCGAAACATTCGAATCTCTCGAATTTCAAATTAAGGAAGTTCGAAATCTTCGAATTTATCGAACCTCAAGTAAACAAATATTCGAAATAATCGAACCCGAACTTTTAGAAACTGTGAAAGCTTCGAACTTTTCGAATTCGAAACCCCACCATTTTGGAAAGTTGCGAATGTTTCGAATTCGAACCTCCCTACGGTCGAAAATATCGAAACTTTTCGAAATAGAAGATCAGTTCGGTTAGAAAATATCGAAACCTTTCGAATTCGAACCTAAGGTGGTTCGCGGCATCCCTATTATCAAGCACCTTGTAACACTTGGGGCCGTCTGTTTGACGTCAGCGCGTTGTACATCGAGCTGAAGCATTGGGATCAATATATGGAACAAAAAGTGTAAGACTACGCCCTATTTTTATTTTTAGAGTGTAGCGGGCAAGAACGTGCCACGCAACCACGCGCTCCGCGAGTCCCTAGGGCACACCGAAGAGTCACACGCCCTCAGTTGAAGCCTCAGTGGGAGTCTGGTGCCTCAGCTGTAGTTAAGCAATTTAGCCAGTGCAGTGAAGCCGCTAGGCTGGGGTTTTTAACGTGCATCACGCAGTAGTGATACACGACCGCACGCCGGCACGATGCTCATCCAGATAAAAACGGGCGGGGTGGGGATTAAGCCAGGATTCCTGGGTTCTGCAGCGCGAGCTTTCGCTCCACGTGCTCCGAGCTGGTGTGCACTAGCCCACTCGGCCACCGATCCGCCTCCCTCACCGAAAGTCTGCAGCCTCGGAGCCCCGATTCCTTAGACCCGAGGAACACCTCACGACGAACCTCCTGTCAAGAACCTTACGGGACCTTCAAGTCTGCGACTGAAACCATCGATATTCGACGGTACAGCTCCTTGGGCGCCTTAGATATCACAGTTCAACATCATCGCTGACGCTAACAATTGGTCTACGGCTCAAAAGACGCAAGCCTTGGCTGCCCAACTAACTGGGTTAGCGCTGACAGTGCTGCATTACTTACCATCTGATACTCGCCATTCCTACGAGGCCTTGGACGCAGCACTAAACGAACGCTATGGGGAAGGACCTCTCCGCTTCCTTCATCGTGCGCGACTTCGCGACCGCCGTCAGGCTGCACCAAGACGATCTCCCAAGTCGCCAATGACAATGAGCGCCTTGTCCACCTTTTTTTGCCCGGTGGCCCGGAGGACACGGTTGAAGCTGTGGCAACTATGACATTCATCGACGCATTCTAATTTGTTGACGTGCAAGACGCCGTTCGCCTAGCACACTCGAAGTCACTGCGGGCAGCCCACACTATTATGTTGCAGCCCTGGTCGCCGGCATAGCGACCGCGAAGAAGAGATGCGTACGCCGCGAGCTTCGAACCCAAAATCTGATCTTTATCGCGATGTAGATGCTCTATATACAAAATGACAATGTTGCCGACACAACATATTCCCTCCCTAAAAACAACAGCCCAAGAAACTAAATACAAAGAAATAAAAAAGGAACAGTGTAACTGGTAGCAAAAAAATAACAGTAACATAGTTTGTTCATTACAAAGTCTCTCTGCCAGGCAGGCTTTCTCCTCAGCAGAGGTGCTCTCGTTGTCCTTGTATTGACCTGGGCCGAAGCTGCCTCTGACTCCGAACAAGCCACTGAGGTCTCGGGTACCGCCGGCAGCTTTGAAGCCGAAACGGAATCCATCTCCGCGGTCTCGGTTGTCGCCGAAAAAGCCACGGGACCAGTCTCTGGGATCTCGGCTACAGCTGCATCAGCCGATTCTAGCGTTGACGCCGCTTGCTGTGATGCTGTCGACAGGCGCTTCCCCGCTTCTCCACAACCGGAAAGCTTCGACGCATTCCATGTCCGGTTGTCGCTGAGGATGTAAGAACTTGGTCCATGTGTACCAGTAATAAGCATTGGGCGCGTATAGTGCGATGTCCCTTTCTTCGGTATGTTTGGCTTGCGAACCCTGACGAAATCGCCCGGCTTGAAGGTGGGCGCCCTTGCTCCCCTCTTGGAGTCTGTGTAGCGCTTGCTGTAAGCCTGCCGCTGCTGTACTCGCGCTCTGAGGTCAGCTAATTCAGAGCTAGGGTTCACAAAGAACTTTGATGACGGGAACCCCACAATGTCCAGCCTCGACCGAGGAACTCGACCATGCAGGAGCAGAGCAGGCGGCACCCCCGTTGTGGCATGAGGTGTGCACCTGTAAACGCCCAGGTACTCCAGGACGGCCACTTCAAGAGGCCTGTGCTCCAGAGCTGCCGTCTGGATGAACCCCTTGAAGACCTTGTTAAACCGCTCCACCTGCCCGTTGCACTGTGGGTAATAAACCGAGGAGCAGCGGTGACAAATTCCTCGTTCTTTCAGGAAGTCTTCAAAGGCTGCCGACTTGAACTGCGACCCATGGTCCGTCAGAATTTCATCTGGGTAGCCTTCTCTGCTAAACGTAGCAGATAAAAATTTAATCACCGTCTGCGTTGTGACAACTGATGCGAACCATACCTCTGGCCACTTTGAGTAGAAGTCTACCAAGGTAATGGCATACTCGTGTCCACTCCCAGTTCTGCTGAGTGGCCCAACAATATCCACAGCCAGTTTCTGCCAGGCCCGTTCTGGAAGCGGAATTGGCTGAAGTGGTGCTGTGACGGGTTTGGCAGACTTGTCTGCAGACTGGCATTCACAGCAGTTCCTGATGACTTGCTCCACCTGTTGGTCGAGACCCGGCCACCAATATCGATCGCGCAACCTTTGCTTGGTCCTGACAATGCCAGGATGGGTCTCGTGCGCCAGCCCAATCATGGTGGCCATCAGCGACGCTGGAATGACCAGTCGTTCTCCTCACAGCAGCAAGTTGTCCACCACTGCCAACTCGTCTCTCACTCGGAAGAATGCGAGTAACTTGGAAGTCATGCTTTTCTTGTCTGGCCACTTGGTTGAAATGTACTTCATGACAAGTGTTAATGTCTCATCCGTCTGTACAGCCTCTTGTAGTTCATGCTTTGTGATGCAAGATGACACGAATGATACAATTTCTTCCTCTTCTTCATCACCGGTAGGTAATGGCAACCTTGACAGAGCGTCTGCTACTTTGTTGTCGCTTCCTCGGTGATATGCAACTTCCAAGTTGTAATAAAGAAGGCGAGATGACCGCCTTGAGATCCTCAGTGGCCTTCGGCCATTCCCTTGAGAGGATAGGAGAGTTACTAGCGCTTGATGATCCGTGCGTAGCTTGAACCGCCGTCCCCAGAGAAACACGTGCCAATGCTCGCACGCCCACACGCAGGCAAGGGCCTCCTTCTCTCCCACGGAGTACTTCCGTTCAGCCGGCGAGAGTGTTCGTGAGGCAAACGCCACTGTTCTCAAGTCATCGCCAAGACCCTGCTGAAGCACAGCACCGAGCCCATGCATGGATGCATCTGCAGTGACAACTACCGGTAGTGCAGGATTAAACATCTTAATAGCACCGCATGTTGAGAGCGATGTCTTGACTTGCTCGAAACTCTGTTCTGCTTCTTTGTTCCATATAAATGGGACCTCTTGACGCAACAGCTTCCTTAGAGGCTCTACTACTTCTGCATAATTTGGCAAAAATCTTGCGTAGTATCCGACAAGTCCCAAGAACGACCGCAAAGCAGCTGCATCTTTTGGTACGGGAGCTTTTGCCAACGCTTTTACTTTGGAGTGAAGAGGGGTTAGTCCTCCTGCACTCACGGTGTGTCCCAGGAAGTCGAGTGCTTGCACGTTGAACTCGCATTTCTGGTTAAGCTGAAGTCCAGCAGCAGAAATGCGATGTAGAACTTCCTGCAAATTTCCCCTGTGCTCTGCTTCGGACTTGCCGAATATGATCACGTCGTCAATGTAAC